TATGGGACTTTTCTAGAAATCTAGATAGCAGATTGCTAGTTGCTAGCCAAGGAGAAGGAAAGCAATGGCAGAACCATTGGCTGTGGTGGGTGACAAGCGAGTCAGTCCCTGGGGAGAAAAGATGGTTTCTAGTTTGGGCGACAGGAAAGTTCAGATTACAAAGTAAACAGGGAGGGAGAAAAGCCTTGGTGAGTAGAGCCTGTAATTCATGTCTCAGCAGGGTGAGTAAAGGTGGCACTGGGAGTCTGCTCAGAAGGGGGCGACTGTTCAGAAAGTGTAAAAATGGGGCGACTGTCACCATGCAGATGAACATGTGTACTACGAAGAGTGTGTTAGGGCCAAAGTTCAGGACAGAGTCTTGAGAGAAACCAACATTTAAGAGAGAGCAAGCGAAGCATGGCGGTGCACACCTGTAGTCCAAGCACCTCAGAAGGCTGAAGCAGGAGGATTGTTGAGTTTGACACCAGTCTGGCAAGACTACCTCAAAGCAACAAGCAAAAGAACAAAGGAAGGTGGCAGACGAGTCTAAAACAGGGTCTGGGACATGCGCAGAAGATACGGACGTCTGAGCGTACTCCAGCAACATCTGTTAGGACATGGGCGAAGGGATCTCACCTTAGGGACAGCTCGTGTAGCAGGACCAGCTGTCCGGGGACAATAGTGACACTGAGGATGGGTGCCTGTTAGGGCAGTGTGGGTGGAGCAGCAGAGGCCGACTTCACCAATGATTAACAGGCCAGCAACTGGTCACAAATGTTTACATTATGAAATTAAAGCCAAAAGACAAGGCAAGTTGATGCTACGCTAAAGGGTTCAGGGCTTTAGAGAGCTGAGGATAGTAGCCGCAGCACTCCCGTACCTATCTTTTTCTCTTTTAAATTTAAGAGATGCAAGCTCTTAAATCTAACTGCTGATGGGAAGGAGTAGAGAAGAGCAAAGGGCAAGGGATGTGCTCAGAGGAAACAGGGTCCATGCTGGTGGGTGGAGACAGCCACCTCACCAGGAGGTGAAGTCAGCCTCCAGGGGCAGCACAGGAAGCGGCAGAAGAGGGTGTGGTGGAGGGAAGGGCTCCAGTCCCAGTCACCACTCAGGGGAGCTGAAGCAAAGCCTCTCCGCTGCTGACGTCGGTGGGGCGGTGGGGCGGAGGGCAGAGTTCGAAGGTGGGAATTGAACGCTGCAGCACCTAGGTTCTGTGGAGGGTGAAGCAGACCAGAGAATGGCTTGAGTACAATGACCACGTGTGGCTGGCTGGAGGCCGTGGGTTTAGAACTACAGTGGATTCCTCCTTGGCCCACTTTCTCTGTGGAAATTAGCTGTTAGGAAGAGGGGCTGAGTGAATGTTGACATTGAATTTTATTTTTAGGATCCCCAAATCGGAGGCGCTTTGGTCCCTACAAAGAAATACCTATGGCCACAAAGACTTTGCTTACTATTTAATCTGTGTACTTAAGCAAAAACTGAATATAAAAACACACAGTCAGCAAATCAGATTCTGTACATGTTACAAGTCAAAACGCTTACACAATGATTACAAATAAACTAAATCCTGAATATTTTAATGGAATCACAAGTCTAATAGGCCAGCTCCTTTAAGAGCTTTGAACATTTTGATGAAGCAACCACATCGCTACAAGCATTATACAAGTTTGTGTGTGTGTGTGTGTGTGTGTGTGTGTGTATGTGTGACAGAGTATAGGTAGCCCAGGCTAGCCTTCAACTCCTGCTTCTGCTTCTCAAGTGCCAAGTTTATAGGTGTGTACCATCACGCTAGGCTGGCTTGTCCAGTTTTTTTCAAAAATTTATTTATTTTTATTTTATGTGTATTGGTTTTTTTCCTGTATGTGTGTCTATGTGAGGGTGTCAGATCTTGGAGTTATGAACAGTTTGTGAGCTGCCATGCAGGTGCTGGGAGTTGAACCCAGGTCCTCTGGAAGTGTAGTCAATGCTCTTAACAGCTGATCCATCTCTCCAGCCCCATGGATTGTCCAGTATTAAATGTCCACTCTTACCATCATAAAAGCTAGTTTGTAGATTATGAAATGGATACTGTCGCACTCAGATCAAGTTTTGGATTTGGTCTTCACATTCCAAAAAAGAGGTATACACAGCTGTGTGGCCTAAAGATAAGCCATGTATGTCTGGGCCAAAAGAAAAGAGGGGTATTCTCTCCATGCCAAGGAGTTCTGGATGGGCAACTAGTGGATTCTTGGTTGAGTAGGAACTGATTTACATTCTAAGCTGATAAAAACGTGTGTGTGTGTGTGTGCATGTGTGTGTGTGTGTGCGCGTGCGCGCGCGTATCTATGTATGTATGTATGTATGTATGTATGTATGTATGTGTGTGTAATCTGGAGAGATGGCTCAGTGATTAAGAGCCTGATGCCCTTGCAGAGGATCCATTTAGCTCACGTTACACATGGTAGCTCACTGCTGGCTGTAACTCCAGTCTTAAGGGATCTGACACTCTCTTCTAGCCTCTGAGGGAATTGTATGTATGTGGTGAAAAGATGAAACACCCATGCAAATAAGATAAAAGTAAACTAAAAAGCGAAACAAAACAGAACAGACCTATGCTGGTGTTGACCTTCTTGGGTATCTCACACTCACATCCTTCCACGCGGTGGGTCAATTGTGTCAAGTGTTTTTCTCAACATTCAAGGTCTGTGGTATGCAGACATCTCAGTGCCTATACCCTAATCACCAAGACATTCCAATATGCTGTTCCATGGAATGGGGACTTTGCATATGCACTGCAGGCGGGGACCTTAAAGCAGAAAGATTGTTTTGTGTATTCTGGGTGGGGCTAGTCTAAGCACTGAATCCTCAAACTCCAATAATTTTTCTCATGGAAGTCAGAAACTTGGAGCAGGTAGAGGTCGGAGAGAGTGAAAGGGTGGGACTGGGCCTAGAGCTTTTGGCTAGAAAATGGAGAAGCCTGGGGACCTCAGCGCTACAGCTCTAAGGAGCCGGATTCAAAAAGAGTTTGGAAGTGGCTTCTTCCCTCCTAGTGAAGAAGGCTGCTGCCTTCCGCCTTATTTTTGACTTTGTAAAACCTCAATCAGAGAATAATCACACTCTGCGAGACGGCTAACATACAGAAACGGCAACAAATAAACAGCGTCTTAAGCCACTTGGTGTTTGCAAGAGCTGATCTAGTCCACTGTATCTTGAAAATCTTCCAATGTCCAATTACTCTTCTTCCTTACTATAAGACTCCTGACTTTTAACTGGACATAGTCCCCTAGAGTAAAGTCTATGGGCTATGGAGATGGCCCAGGGGTAGGAACACCTTCTGTGCAAGCCTGGTAACCTTAGAATCCACATACGAGCTGGCCATAGCCCATGCATCTGTAACCCTTAGAATCCACATACGAGCTGGCCGT